AGGGTGTAAAATTTACACTAAACTATCGCTGTTTGAACTGAGCAGTTTACAATTTACAGACTTGGCAGAGGGAGGACGCATCCTGTGTGTTCAGTAGAAATTAACCTAAAAATCTGACCTTATTCAGCCAGGAAAGATTGATTGATTTCAAAATTAAAAGAATGAAATATGCAGTACACTCATTTATTTATTATGATTTTCTCAACACACTTAAATAAACAATAAGTATGTATAAATATATGTAATCCAGCCCCACTTCATTTAAATGTTAAAAATTCTTCAAAAATTTGGCTGTATGCAAGACAAATGTGTACACATATCTGCATAAACCTTGTATATCTATGTAAATGTAATTCGGCATACACGTGCTCACGTTTTAACTATAATTATTATTTATTCAATACTTGTAATCCATGAGTATTTAACAGCTTTAGTTTATATTGCTTTTAAAACTAGAAAATGTTTGGACAATCCTGTAACTTAACCACAAGCATCATTTAACGCATCAGACACAGGTACAGAATGTTTTCAATGTTTGTGCCGAAAAAGTSGTTTTCCTTTGTTCTTCTCCTCCTAAAAGAGAAAGAACACAATGTGTGCTCTATAACCCAGAAAATCACAACCTATTTGATTTTATGAGTTTTCAGCTTCTACTTCAGGGTGTCACTAAAGCAGCTTCAAAGCATGAAGACGAGTCCCCGGCTGTGTTTGGGCACAATAACCCATCAGTGGGTCCTGAGGGTGGCAGAGTGGGCGTCTGTGGACGGGACTTGTTTGTGCACATTAGTCTGGGGAGTTTAATCGCTGGATTTATGGGACTTTCATTTTTGTGTGGAACTGAACTGTGGCTGTTTGTTTTAAGGCTGACATCATCAGGGAGCCTTATAGCTGTGGAAGTGCATTTTATGTTGGGAAACAGAGTTCATTTAAGGAATGTTAAACCTTTAATATAYATTAAAGAGCTGAATAACCTGCAGAACATTTATTTAGGTTTGAAGAGTGCAGTGAACTCAATAGAAGAAAAGCAGATGAGCTCTACTCGCAGATATTTAATGAAACGGAACAAAGTCTTTCTCCCTGATTGTCTGTCTGGTGACCGGTCAACCTGTCTCTCTTTATGTCTGTGTGTGTGTAGGTRTGTGTGTAGGTGTAGGGTACGCTCTGAGGMGGCAGCTGCAGAACAACACACGAGGGACGTTCATGTCAGAACGGTGGAGATGGGTGACAGTGCGGACCCCGGAGATGACCAGATGGATTAGCGGGGCCACATCACGTTGTTACCCTCTGCTGTGCGTGTGAAGCAGACGTGGTTGACATTACTCTTTCGTGTACACTGTGTGGACTTTGTGTGTCTTTTGTGCAGCAAATTCACACCTCACTCTGACAGAGAGGCAACTTGTTTCCTTGTTTAAATTATCTGAGAGTGTACTGTTGGTCATGCACATTCATGACTTTTTGCACTCCCGTTCAACAGATGGATCTTATTTAAATKATTTTAATCTTTCACAAACCCAATCTAATGTCAGTAGGTAATAGTGGTGGCATAATTTACAGTATTTTCAACATTTTGCTTGTAAAATAGTAATTACTGTGCAAGAGCATCTTCTCTTAAGGACACAGCCCAGATGTAACMCCAGAAGTGGGAATTCTCTCCAAAAATCTGAAAAATATAATAATTTATGCAACGAATCCCACTGCTGTGTACATTTTTAATACATATATCTTAATTAAATGGGTTTGCAAAAGTCTCTCATGCTCATTTGGTTCCTTTAGAACCAATAATTACACTAAATGTGTATTTGCCAGCAAGTACTATAAATTTTGTGGACAAAGGTATCTGGAGACTTGATGCTGGCAACAAACAATATGCAGATGACAGATTATTCACCTCTAAACTCTGCAGCTCTCCCACATTAATTCTCGCATCACGTTCAGTTGTGTACAACCTGAAGTCTTCATGAGAACTGGTGTGAAGAACAGCTATGATGGTTTGTGCGTAAAGCTTCAGCTCAGTGTGTGAGTCACTATAATATTTACCTTATATACGGATATGTCTGCTGCAGAATGTAGTGTGTAGTTTATGAAACTGCCTCAGTAAAACATCAATGGAAAATACGGATTTATTTGTGCAAAAATATTCCATTGATCAATGATCCATTGATGTATTTAATCTAGTTTACTGGACACGATTCTTCATTAGAAATGGAAAGTAGGAGTTTTACCTCTCTGCTGCTCAACTGCTGCACCGACTGAAGCTGGCATCAATATTACAGCTGTCTTCAACTGATTATCCAACAAAAGAATTGGCCAAATTTTTATGTAGATGTAAACCACATTATAAAACATGACATTAAACAGTTATAATCAAGTTAGTCTTGATTGAACTGTGATCTTAGTCCAAAATATTCTGAAAAATGCAACATGAGGGTTAGAGAGGCTACAGTCTAAATGCATTACACAAGAACCCTCTTTGACCAAAATGAAATACATAAAAACATGTTTGTCTTTGATCTCAGTTTTATTCTTTSTGTCAGTCGTGTGATTCATGGAGCATTTATTCATTGCCTGCATGCAAAACAAAAATGCTGCTGCTGGCCTTGTCCTGAACTCTTCCACACAAAGTGAACCACCTCAGACATGTGAGACCCATGGGAATTTCCAGAATAAGAGCTTAGAAAATGCCTGGAGATGCAAAAATGCCAAACGGTATAACGGAGACAACAACGCCACCATGCCAAGCTCGATAATGCGATTAGTTTATTTAATAAGAAGGTTAATGATTCTCCTGATGTGTTTTCACATGTAAATGTTGTCTGGATCTATAATGTAAAGAAAATTTATGCCTATTAGAGAAATGCATGTTTGAAAATCTGAGCTAGAGTTGGATCTAATTTGCACAATACATGAAAATCAAATCAAAAGCCAATTTTAACCTTCATAAAAATTTAAGACAGCCTCAGGGAACTTAAAAATGATTGTTAGTTTCATCTTTCTGTTCTTTGTTTCTTGGTAATCTGTGCTGTGAATGAGGGCTGATGCAGTGCACAGAAATTTGAACATTTTTCTTAATTTTTGTTTCGAAATACAGTCACATGCTTCRGTGTCGACAAATTATAGATCATATTGGGAATATTTTTAAAACCCCATTTTCATCACTGTTTAAGCCAGTGAAACTTTTGGAGACTAGAAACGGGAGTAACTCTGGGACAGTTGTAATTTGGTWGAAAATTTCTTGCACAAATGTTTTGAAACATGTTTAAAATTCAAGTGTCAAATAAGTTGAGAATCCTCATCAGATGTCGACGGCCGCATCAAAAAGCTCGTAGCCACAGCCCAGGGTGGGAGCTGGCATTTCTAAAATCATTCCCAAACCCAAACAGCTTTAAAAACCGAGTGGAAACATCCACCTGATGATAATAAACGGCTGGTTTACAGATCAGAAAYGATGCTTAAAGTAACGTAATGACATTAATCTGGACTGCGCTGGTTATGGGAAATCAACACAAATATTTGTTGGAAATGATTTAAAATTGGTTCCAACATCAACCCTGTACCAGYCCTGGAACCACTTTGGATAAAGAAGCCAGTATCTCAGAATGCTGTCATGAGACGGACCCTGGATCTCCATTGAGGGGGTGTCATATGGCCTCTGCAGTACTTACAGCACCTCCACTGTTACTGAATACCTGCTGCTGCCAGCCTGCTCTGTGTGCAGGACTGCGCCTGGATCTTCTTACGCTTCCRTCGATGTTTACTCCATTTTTTTACAAACATATTACCTATAGTTGATTCTCCTTTAGTTGTGTGTGTTCTGTATATCCTATATAAACCAGCCTTTCGTAAAAACTTTCTCTCGGGGGCAATAAACAATCCATGCTTTTTCATGTGCTTACTGGGAAATATGATTGGGTTCATGCACTTTTCCTCAGACCCTCTGTAAGAGCCGGTACGTCATAGACATATATCAGATAGAGAACCAACAATTCTGCAGCCACTTATAGCTCCTCCAGAGGGAAATACCCATAAAAGGTTAACATAGGTGACCTCTCAGATGACTCTCACAGTCTATTAATCATGTTAAGATGATTACGTAAAACAAATTATCTATCCAAGTGGGCTTAGGCAGGTCACAAGAGTAATTTGGGCTTTTTGTAGCACTGGACCTTGGTTGAAAAYGAGCACATGAAAGCTGAGATAATCTGCTCCAACAAAAGGCCCCATTGAACACCACTAGAGGAAAATATTAAAAGGGGAAAAGTTCAAAAGAAAAAAAAAACTTATTTTGACTAACAGCAATTACATAGCTTCTAAATGTGAAATGAAAAAGTTCAAATATTTTCCA